TGAAGCGGTATATAAGTCTAAGTGTTATTGCTATTGTATTGTTCTTGGTTCCAGCAGGTGTCAATATGCTTTGGCTATTTTTCCTAAGTTTTCCTGTGTATTGGAAGCAGTGGTGGGATTCAATTTTTTTTACTACCGATTCTGTGGGTGTGGCTATGTGGGCATAGCATGGCTTGGTGGGCATGGCAGGGGAAGGTTACTTCAAAATCCCCATTCCCTCCCCACCCCACTAACCTGCTTTCCAGCTCCGTTCTCCTGTGCAGGGCAACAAAAGAAGACCCAGCCAATCAGCTGGGACTCGGGAGGCAGAGAATAGATGGGGGCGGGGCCAGTCAGAGGTGGTATTTGCCAGTTCTCCAAACTACTCAACTATTCTGAACTACTTCCGCTCCTGGTCCTCCAGAAATGGTCAGAACTTACTGAATACCACCTCTAATTGGAAGACTGTCTGTCCTGTTCCTAAGCAGTCTGATTTCTCAAGCACAATGGAGATATTGCCCAACATATTAGAACTACTGAACTAAATTTCAACTGGCTATTATAAAATATGGGATGAGGTAGCATATTCTCCTTTGCCTGAGGAAGCAAATTTCTTAGGAAACATGTGCAGTAGGTATGTCTTTGTAGCAAAAACAAAACAGCAGTTAAAAACCCATTAACTAGAAAAGATCTACTTTGAAGTTCTTTTCTTCTTCTCTTCTTTCCCCAAGGCCTTTCACTGGTAGGACTTTTCCTTGGAAAATGTAGTAGTACTTCTCCAGAAAAGCTGACTTGGAAGAGTTCTCAATATATCTTCTTTTTCCTTGGAAAATGGAAAAATTTCCTTTAATGGAAATATGGGTGATGGAAGAACATTGGGAGAGATTAAAGGGCAGAATATTGACATAGCTTCTGTCCAACTCATCATTAATTAAATCTAAGAAATAAAGTACAGCGTTCTCCAAAATTCTTTTCTTGAAGAAATTTTCTCAGGAAACCAGTAAAGAAAATGCAAACAAAATCCAACAACACTTTGGCTAACACTTTGTCTTCCCTAGAAGCTGTTGGCAATGATATTCTTGAATGTTGACCTACACAGAACATCAGAAAGATTCAAGAACCCTTTGGAAGCCCAAACTCAGCATCTTAGGTCAAACTAGACATGATGTTGGAGTTTCATTTTAATATGTCCTAGAGTGGATTTTTTCCCTATGGCTACAAAATAGCCATAACTTCTATAGTACTTACATCCTCGTTTCTGGAAAAAAAATACCACATCTTCATCTCCTCCTGTAAAAAAAAAGTCCTCATCCCCACATAAACCTTCCAATAATATAGGCAAAATATCAGTAATTCATGATCTACTTATGGAGCTGTCATAGCAGGTCAATTTAATTTTCTTCCAAGCAATTACATTTCCCAATTGCTAGAAATTAAGGGAAACACTTCAGAAATGAGCTTATAGACATAACAGCCCTACCATCTTTTTTCAGCGAATTCAAAAGTTGGTATAGAGCAGCCCTTGACCCTTAAATGGTCTTTCTGAGAGTACTTAGAAAAATTGAGCTTCTGACCTCCAATTTATTGAGTACTCTAAAATGATACTGTGGTCAGTGTATCCAAAGCTGTACAAAGATATCTTGTTTCTCCTGCTGAATATCATCCATTAGGATTACCATATCTATTTTAATGCCAAAACAGAGTCTGAACAAACCAGGGGAAAATATCTATAGAATATGTTTCCTCTATGGTGCTTCCCTGTGTGTTTAATGCTTTCCTGTTCAGTCAACTTGAATATACATTTTGGCAGGAACATTCTATAGAAATAAAGAGAGACATACTTAAGACGGTGGGAGCAGGATGTACTTGGCCCTAAGATCACAAGTTGGAATCCCCTATTATAGAAGCTAAATTTTACAAGACTACCAAAGGCAGAGTCGAAATACTTTGCATGAGCATACATGATTTACTACTCTTGGTCTGCGTACATATAAAGGATACTGAATATCTATCAAAGTATTGACTCTAACTTAGTTTCTTCTGTTGATTCTCAATTATCAGTATCTCTGCTGTCAATAAACAATACAAGTAGCCCTCAACTTACAACAGTTCATTTAGTGACCATTCAAAGTTACAACGGCACTGAAAAAAGTGACTTATGACCATTTTTCACATGACCTTTGCAATATTCCCATGATCATGTGATCAAAATTCAGATGCTAGGCAACTGGTTCATACTTATGACTGTTGGTTTGTCCCAAGCTCCTGTGATCATCCTTTGCAAACTTTTGACATGCAAAGTCAATGGAGAAGCCAGATTCACTTAACAATGGAGTCGTTGTGATGATTCACTTAACAACTGTGGCAAGAAAACTTGTAAAATGGAGCAAAACTCACTTAACAACACAAATGTTGGGCTCAATTGTGGTTGTACGTTGAGGTCTATCAGTATGGCACACGTGGTTTTCACAAGAGTTCTTGGTAGGCCTATCTTATCCTGATATCTAGAAAAAAATCACAGGCCAATAAGGTAAGGTTCCTCTTCTAGATAACTGTGAATATCAGAATTAAATTGATAGTGTTGTGGCCTGTTGGCTGAATCAGAGGAGGAGGAGGTGGAGGTGTGGGAGTCAGGGTCAGCATCAAAGAAAACCTGAGAGCTCCAAGGGGGAAGAGGGAATGGAGTTGGCAGAGAGAGAAAGAGAAAGAGACAGATGTAGAGCCTGGGCCTCCGTCAGCCCTCAGATGGAGAGTCAACAGCCCCCAGATCTGGAGGTGGCTGATGAGGAAGAGGAGGAACAGTTGGGTCCAGTGCCTGATGCATGGATGCACCAAAGGCAGAGGAGAGGAGAGCAGTGGAAATCCATGGGTCGATCCTTGGGAAGGAAGAGCCACCACTGCTAGCAAAGCCCCACACTAGCTCTGGGGATAGCAGGGGATGGAGATGAATAGATGTGGCAGACAACTATTCATCTCTGCTGCCAGACAGACTTGTTAGCCTGAGGTGAAAGAGAAACTATTTTGCTGGGGCTGCTGGTGCTCCTAATAAAGAAATCATTGCTTCAACTATAAGAGGGTTTGTTGTGTTTGGGGAGCTGGGTCAGAACAGGTAGCTTTACACACAGTACATTGTTTTGCACTTTTGGAAGTTCGTATCCTGGCTAGGTTCTAGAATGAAGTTCTAAGACAAAGAAATCCCAAAACTCTCTTTGATTCTTGATTTTTGAGAGTTATTCCAACTTCAGTTCCCCTAGAGCCCTTTCATCTACAATGCAAAAGATGAAACAGACTGAGCCTGGTACCCTAGCCCTAAAACACTGGCAATGTCAGTGTTCCAGGGAACATCCATTCCTGTCAGTAACTCCAAGACAAGCATAATCTCAAAAGTACTTTTCTTAGAATAGCACCTGGCACATCTGTGGAATTCTGAAACTAAAAGTTTCCCGGACTTCCCCACAATGTCCCAACCTACAAACCATCCCTTTTTTACTCATTGTCACATTACATGAACCAATCCCAAAGTAAGTTCTAATTCTTTCTGCACCACACTCTTTGACCTTGAACTATCAAAAGAATTCTATTTTGTCTACTAAGAGCTACTCAATTAATGTCACACACACACACCCTTTCTCAAGCGATGTGGCAGCGATGAATAAGGATTCCATAGCTGACAGGCACCACATTGTACTATGAACCCTGTGCCTTTGTGAATCCACTTATCTGCTTGTGAGCCGCCTGGGACTCAGTTAACCAACATTATCCTTGCTTAACCACATAATGGCTGTTAGATCTGAGGTGGATCGGGTCGAAGGAGACACGAGACCATTCTAGTGAGTTCAGCTCTTTATTTAGAATAGGAATAGTCTGGGGAATACAAGCCGCGGCAGCCCTTCATATAGGGCTGGCTCGCGGCTCGGCGGCCAATGGCAGCGCTTTGAATCTCCCGCGATCGGCACAGCCAATCGCGGTAGATTCTTAGCGCTCCAATCATGGACCAATCAGTTGCGAGGGTTTGGAGTATGCTAATACAGCACAATGGCCATGAAGCAATGCAGTCATGTGGCCATGAAGCAATGCAGATTGTGGTCATGAAGCAATGCAGTCCACATGAAGTTATGCTTTACAACTGCCTTGTTTACCAATGATATTCTGGTCATTAACAGAGGACTATCAGTAAACAAACTGACAAGCAATTTCAAGTTCAATGACAGAAATACTAACAATTTCTGGATCAGAAATTATGTGTTTGAAAGTTACAGATTCTTTAGATTTGTCTGACAAGTTGAGTAATTTCACATTCTCAGTTTTCTTTCTATCACATTCCATCCATCCTTTTAAAGTAGTTTACACTGATTCAGCCAGGAAACATCCACATGTAAAACACGTATTCATCTAATGGGTTTTGTTTTACTATTTCAAATATTTGCACAGTCTCTGTACCTCAGAGAAGAAGTGCATGCTTTCTCTTGGCCTTGAGCTGCAATTGATCTGAGCTATACTATTTAAAAGCATTTGTTTGATAAAGCCAGGGCAAGAAAATTGTAATTGATTTCATGTGATGTGTATAATTATGAAAAATAAATATGATTAATGAAGTTACTCTTTGGTTTACATTTCATAATTTCTCTCTGCTATCATGTTACAAATTACATTTAGGAACGGCTTTTTGAAGTCCCTGAAAACTGCAACCAAGCTTATCAAGAATTTGTGCATCTCTGGTTTAGAAAGAAGAAGAAAAAGGCTTTCACATTCCTTTTTGTTCCTAGGGTAACTTTTTCACCAGAAATTAATCACCCTAGTTGCATATTTTCATTAGAAATTAATCACCCCAGTTGCATATTAGTATTTTAGAAAAGTGCATTCTAGAACCATGATATTGAAGCTTCAAACCTTTCTCAGGTATTTCCAAATACATTGCTATAATAAACTTTTAATAACTTAGATGCTAAGTTATCCTCTAAACCAGTCACTTAAATAAATACATTAACATTCTTTCTGAGACATCTATCAAATCTGCCTACCATAGATCCACTCCAGATGGGAGAAGCAATGCGAACGCTCCATCCAACAAACCCTGGTTTATACGAAAAAACAGGAAAAAAGGCAATAATTCCTGAAATGAGGCTTAGGATGCCAAAGGAAATAAGCATTTTTCCAGTAACTAAAAACAATTTCCTTGTGTTCATTTTGAATCTCACTTCTTTCCTTCTGTAAATTGCACAAGATTTACAGCAATAGGCTGACACATGTCACTGCACACCAAAGCGTCTTGGAGACTGTTGCCATGGGCGTTCCCTTATTGTTTGCTTACACAGGTAGATCGCAACTCATTTTATAATTGAAATACAAGGCATTGATGTGGAATTAGGAACAATTATAGGTAGTCCATTGCAATTGAGTTACAATTTCAAGCTTTAACCATAATGGCTGTAAAGCAGATCCTCACATGACTGGGCCTTAATTTATGTTCTTTTTACAGCAGTTGTTTAGCAGCAAATACAGCTATCATTAAAATTGACCTGGAAAACCAAGGCATATATGAAGTCCCCTGTGCATCATGCCCTGCCACATACATTGGACAGACTAATAGAAGACACACCCCAATCAGGAACCCAAATGAAACCTAGCTTCCTAATAAATGATAGCTGTCCGTTTACTCAGAGCCAAGCCACACTAAAAGCCTCCAATAAAGGAAACACAATGTTGCCAGCCAATCAAGACAAAAAAAAAAGCTACAAAACAGACAGAAGATATTAGAAACACCAATCAAGCAGAACACAGCAAACTCCAAGACCAATAAACACAGACCAAGATTCCCAAACAATCAGGATGAAGAAAAAACCATTCTGGCACAGTAGTAGGCTAGCACCAAATTTAAAACAGAAATGGCTGTGAGATTCTGCCAAAACGTTGCTACAACTTTAAAAGCACAACTATAATGACGTGGGAAAATACCCGAACAAAGCTGAATACCTTACATATAAATACCTGTGAAAACTTAAGAAAACAAATACATACATACATACATACATACATACATACATACATACATACATA